AAAAGATGACTGCATTTTCCAACGTGTTGTACTGCTGGTAAGAGGGTGTGTAGAAAGAAAAACGAGAGGAAAATGTCATCTCGAAATGTTCCGAGGTGCTTTACAACAGGGCTGCGATGAGGCGCGTGCACGGCGGGACTCGTGCGAGCCTTCCCCGGGGCACTCGCTGCCGTCATGTTGAGGGTGTTGAGAAATCCATCCCAGCTCGCGGTGTGAGCGCTTCTCGCTGCCGTCATGCTGAGGATGTTGAGAAATCCAGCTCGGCTCGCGGTGTGAGCGCTTCCCCTGAGGTCAGTGGAGGAGACTTAAGGCAGATCCTCCTGGTTCTGTGCTCGGACGGAACCAGCGCAGACCCTGCTTCCCAGCAGCGTTCTCCCGCCGTGCAGCTGCGTTTCCTTCGTTCTAGCGCGTTACGCAGCTCCTTACTCAGGAGAAGCTGTTCTGTGAGTCTTGTGAAGGAGCCCAGTGCCTCGGGGAGGGCTGTGGGGGCTCTGAGTACAGCTGCAAAGACCCACCTAAGGTTTGTGCTTGGAGTTCAGGTCAAGAATCCCTTATTTCAGGGGAAAGGGGCTTCATGTTGCTCCGGGGAGCAGGAATAGCTGGTTCAGATGACTGGGTTATGCAGGAAATTCTCCGTGCCGGCTTGGGACTGGGGCCCTGAGTTTGTGTGTGGCAAAATCTGGTGGGGAGGGAGTGAGCAAACCTCGGCTTTGGGTTTCTGAGGCTCCCGTGGAGGTGAGGAGCCGATTCACCGCGAGGTTACTCATTTCCTCCGGCGTTGACCACTGGGGCTCACAGCTCACGTTTTCTGTCCTACCTCTGTGTTTCCCTGCAGGTGTAAATAACACTTGTGGAATAGATGCCATGAATCCCTCTTCAAAAGAAGACTTTACGGAATTTGGCAAACTACTAAAAGAGAAAATCACACAGTATGAAAAATCGTTACATTACGCCAGTTTTTTGGAAGCGTTAGTTCGAGACGTATGTATTTCATGTAAGTTGAGCGAAAGACGTCCGAGAATACGCAGCCACCAGAACTGCGGTGGAGTCAAGAACGTTCTGTTGTAGTAAATGTGAAATTGAGAGCGATCTCTGTAGTTTGTGAAGTATTTCCCCTGGCCCGTGCCCGACTGCATTCCCACAAGCTTTGTTACTGATCCGTGTTTGCACGAGAGCTGCTCCCTGCGTGTGCGCTGGGGGGAGGCGCTGAAAACGTGGGAATTTTTATGCGGCTCTAAATCTTGCGTGCTTTTCCAGAAGCCCTTTCTAAAATAATGATACTGCTACCGGAGCTGGTAACTCCACTGCACGTGGGTTCCAGAGCTTCCCAAACTGAAGGACTTGCAGCCTCCTGGACCAGTGTTAATAATTCCCTCTTAATCCACTCCTCCTCTTGCTATATTTTACTGTATTTTACTCTTGGCCATATGTTACTGTTCAGATGACTCCTCACTAAGTCTTGAATTTGGAAGTTTTACCTTCTGCAATATTCAAGCTGCTTCTTGGAGACCACCTGAAATAGTAACTGGGATTGTAAGGACCAGAATCACCCAGTCTGTGCTTTGCTGATTTAAATCAAGCAGCTGCCTGGGCTTACTACTAATGCTTATTCTTAATTTTTAGAGAATGTTGATGTTAGATTATCTAACTGCCTTTTAAAGACAACAATGATGAGGAATCTTTTTTCTTTTTTCTTTTTTTTTTGCCCCTGATGTAGTGGAAGTTGATGATTTGAAAAAGATCACAAATACTTTGACAGTACTATGCAGTGAAAAGCAAAAACAAGAAAAGGTAAGGCTCGGGCGTGCTCCTGCAGTGTCACAGCACCTACTCAAGGGCTCCTCTGCAAAGTGGCGACAGGTCTCGCGCTGGCGCGAGTGGCTGGTTCTGTTCTGGGTAGTAGCGGGAGATAAATGATAACCTTGGGGACCGGTTTAGCATTAAATCCTCTTCGCTGGGTGAGGTAATCAGGAGTCAACTCAATCTAGAGATCACAGGAAAAACCGTGATTAATTTACATCCAAGTTCCCCGTGTGCTGACCTTGCTCTGTTCTACACGGTCTTGGAGTCCAAATGCCTCGCAGGGGTGTCCTGCGGGCAGCAGGCGGCCTCGCCAGGAGGTCAGGTCAATGTTCGTCCCATCCAGGGCCTTAATTCACACCTTTGGCAGCGTCAGGGGTTGGGAATAGCAGGTAACTGGGACTGTTACGCTCTCACACAAACTACAGGAGCAGTAACTCGCAAAGGCAAGGAAGAGCAGGTGTCAAAGCCTCAGTTAAGCTATGACGTCGCTCTTGGGTGATGTGGTTTATAGCACCCGGCTGGGCTGGGCCCCAGGCGCGCTGGAGCTCAGGGAGCCCAGGTGGGTGCCTCCCCTTTTCCAATGTGCCGGCTTTCCGCGTCAGATTGCTGTGGGCAGCCACCCAAAGACGTGTGCTGATACTCTGATCAGAGTGATGACAAATTGCCGTGGATTTTAAAGTAAACATGTTTCCTATTTAAGCAGAATAAAGCCAAAAAGAAGAAAAAAGGTGTTGTGCCTGGAGGGGGTTTAAAGGCTACGATGAAAGACGACCTGGCTGATTACGGAGGCTACGATGGAGAATACGTACAAGACTTTGAAGACTTCATGTGACACTTATCTCCCTTTCTGTTGTCTTTCTGTTGCCCATAATCCCTTAAACATGTAGCACAACTTTTCTTCCTTTCAATTCTGCCAAATGCTACAATCGAAACTGCAGTATCGCTGTGCTGGTGGCTTAACTCGGAGGGCTCCGGGCGGAAGCGCCGGGCTCTGGCCGGGGCTTAGAGCGAAGACGTTTAAAAGCTACATAAATTGCCGTTAAAAAACCCCAAAATTCTGGTAATGGTAACTGTTGCTATTTGGTTTTGTAGTAACAGCCACTAAATTGGCACTGAATTTCATCAGGGTGAAGTATTGTTACCAGCACAGCCCAGTGACATGGCCTTAACTGCACCTCCCGAGGGACCCGCTGATGAACACGAGCAGTTTGCAGCAAGGGCGTGGTGTGCACGTAGTATTACAGGCGCTTTGTCTTAAGTTAGAGCTTGAGGTTTTTCAGCATCTTGTGAAGGGGAACTGCCGACTTCTCCGTGGGGCCGCTGCGCCGGGCAGCGCCGGAGAGCGTCGCTGTGTGACGTCCAGCCAGAAACCATGGCAGGGCGGGACGAGGAAAGGGTTACTTACCTGGGAAAAAACCACAACTTGTGTCTTGAGGTTAAGTTTCACTTCATCTAAATTTCTACTAATGCAGCTGTATGGGTTGGGTATTCTTTAACAGTTAATTGCCTGGTTTCAGTGTAACAAACAAAAAAAAACCAGAAAAAGAAAATTACTTCCTTTTGGTCTCTCCTGGGGTTGTGGTGGATCTTTCACGACTTGGCCATTTTCTTTCATTAAAAAAAACCAACAAAACAACTTGCTTAGCAAACTGCAACAGTTACTACAGTTGGGCAAATTGTTATGTTAACAATTATGACATCTGCAATGTTTTATAAAGCAACTAATTTAATAAAAATCACTATTGAGGACTTCACTACAAGCCATCTGAGCCAAGTCTTTCCTTGCACGGGAATTACCTGAAGCAGCAGCGCTGCGGTCGGGGTGTGTGGTGCGAGGGCTGGGCTTTGCTCTGGCTCCCAGCTTTGCGCTGCTCCTGGGGCAACATTTCATTCCTGTAAAATGGCTTTTTCTTGGGGTAAGCCTCTCGAGCTGCTGTTGGTAAACAGAATTCTTCGGGGACTGCAATAATCCAAGCGTTCCCGTGACAAACTTGGTATTTGTTGTGGCTGTAACTGCTGAGCTCAGCGGTCTGTACTTACCAGCAGCCGTCCCGCGCTCGCGTGGGGCCCTGGGGTGCGTGTTCCCGGTAGGGGTGGGATCCGCGTGCGCCTTCCCAAGGCAGTTGTGCTCCCACATTCTTCTCAGCGCTGGTGGTCCCAAATTTTTAAAGGCTCATGGATGGCAAATCTCCAAAGGCCAGCCCGAGGGTCTCCCTTCATGCTGGAACTTTAACGTTCAAGCTCAAAGCTTGCTCCCTGTGATTTAACTCAGACTAATCACATCCAGCTCAGGCAAATTTGGTCTCATGAGACAAACTGGAATTTTTAAATTGGGTTCTGCTCAGGCACAATCCTCACTGCATAAAATGTTTTATTTCTCAAAGGGGCTGTGACTTGTACAGTGTAGCCCTGCGCCCAACTTTTAGCTCTGCCCTTCAGTTTGAGATGACCACGGTGGGAGCAAACACCTGTCACAGGTAACAGTTGCTGTTACAGAAACATTCAGCAACTGAAAGGCCATTGTGGGCATCACTTTGCTAATTACGGGGTTGCTCTGGCAAGTGTAGTTTTTGCTAGGACAATATCACTGCTTAATTTTACTTAAAAATGTGTGGGTACCAACTGTGTGCCCAGCAGCGCTGTCCAAGCGTGGAAAGGAGGTAAAATTCAATAACTGTAAGAATGCAGCTGATCCAAACTACTCCTTTTACTCCAAGTCAGTAGCAAACAAAGCCTGTGCTGTGCACAGTTGTACCGTATCACTCAGCGAGGAAACAAAACCCCTCGAATCAGCCAGGAGTCAAAGAACAGATTGTCCTGGTGCGTACCTGGAACTTCCACAGGAGGTTACTCTCCCCTCCTTCGCCCATTGTGAATGCAGGGGACACTCCGCACCCTCCAGCTCCGCCTCCAGCCCAGCTGCTGTTCCTGGGGTGACCCACCCTGCCCACCCCTCTTTTAAAGGCCTCCTGGATCTCTGGGTCAGCGTCGGCTGTGCCAGTCAAGAGTTTTGTAAACAGATTTTTATTACACAAAACACAATTTTAGGTTAACACAGTCTCAGCATTAGAAATATGTACAACCTGGAGTAGCTCTGACATCGCAGCCGTAAGCAGGTGATGGATAAAAACAGCTGTTAACCACGCGGCACTAACCGTGCAATCTGCGGCGGGGCCAGGCCGTGTCAGAGCCGGGCTCTGCTTCAGGGAGGCCGCAGTCTAGTTTGATAACATATCATTAAGGCAGCAGCCAGTCTGCGCATCCTTCAGCAGCGCGTTCACCACGTCGTAGAACTTGTTATCGTAAGCCAGCCTGTAGTACGTGTAGATATCTTCACAGTAAGTGAGCAGTTTCTTTAGGTTTTTCAGAGCAGCGTCAGTGGGTGGGTGTTGTTTAACTCTGAAAATAATTGGACATGTAATTGGAATAGAGAAGCTTCACAGACAATGATTACGAGACTATCCTGCTGTAGCCCTGTGAGAATTACAACTCTTAGAAAGAAGCTGTGCTCAACGTGTACATTTGATTCTTTCAGCTGTTTATTTTGCTCTGGTTCATTTTTTAAAAAGGTTTGATCTGACCAGCCTAAAGATACCTTATTTATCCAGCTCCAGAAAAACAGCAGATCCAGTGCTGCTTCCACAATGTGCTTAAGAAACTCAACATAACTCTCAAGTCTCTCTGTACTACGCTTCATCACATAAAAGGTCTTACCAGTACTAAGACTTGCAGGCTGCTGAACACCCAGCTGCTCCTCTGAAGGAGCCTGTGGAAAAGGAAGGTCCAATTTGACCGTAGAACCACTTACTTCTTAGCAATCTCCTCGAACATGCTGGGCTTCAGGGCTCTTTGTTGTTTAAATTCTTCCAAGTAAGTGAAGTCTCCCTTGGTGATCACTTGTTGATACAGAATTTCAGCCCAATCTGGAACGAACTCGTACGCCTCAGCCACAATAGCTGCCTTCAGGGAGAAGAGACCCCAGAATTACTGACCAGGCAAGAGTTACTCTTGCACGAAAACATTCCTATACTGGGAATACTTCATATGTTCTAGGTCTGCTGTTTGGCCCATCTCTGGATGTTCTTCTGGAGAGCAGCTGTATCACGGAGAAATACAAAGTACTGCAAATAATTCTCCTGAACCCTGAACACACTGTCAGAGGAGCACCGTTTGTTCTCTTTAAAAAGCCCTTTTCTTTCTTATTTCCAAATTTACAAGATGATGGATGCCAACTTGAGAGCTGCAGGGCAGCCAAGGGCCAGGCCGCACAAGGGGGCGGCCACAAGCATCAGCCCACAGCAGGACTGTGCCCACGTGTCCCAGCGCAGTCCCACCCGTGGCAGCATCACGCAATCACAGCGTGTTGGGGCTTGGAAGGGACCTGGTAAGACCATCCAGTCCAACCCCCCTGCCCGAGCAGGGTCACCGAGAACAGATCCCACAGGAAAGATCACGGGATAACAGTCGCGGGACTCGGTGGCCACGTGCAAGAGCTGAGCGTTGCGCTCCCAGAGCGCTGAGGCACCTGCTCTTTAGAACAATCGTTTTGAGAAGAACACAGGAGGCGAGGAAGCGAAGCTTACCTGGTAGAATCTAGGCAAGGACAGGATGGAGTCCATCAGGTTCTGCCTGCTGAGGTTGATCAGCATCGTGCTCTGGCCGGTGTTGAGGAAATGCAGCTGGAGAGTGATCAGCTTCGTCAGCCGGCGGCAGCGCAACGACTGACGGACGCAGGAGTCCTGGTCAAGGAATCAAAGACAAACGGAAGCGTCGGAAGCACGGCTCTACAGGAAAGCGATAAATATTCCCGGGAGCAACAACGAGGTCAGCGTTAACTCGTATTTCATCTTTCAGGTCACTGCAGTTTTATCATCAATCAAATCCCGTCAGTTTTAAATGAAGCTTCACTTGCAGCAAACATCACTTTCACCATAATAATGCCAGTTTGTAAACACGCTTTATGTTCTGCTCATGCTAGTTAAGCTCATGGTCACTCTGAAACTGAGGAACTGAGTTGTGACCCAAGCCCTTAAAGCCTGAGAAGGGAACGAGGTCCTGCTCCGGGCAGCAGCAGCGTCACTGAGACCGCTGGGATGCTGCCCAGACCCCCCTGGGACAAGGCTCTGTGCACCCTCCCCAGAGCAGCTTTCTTTGTTCTCCCGGTTCAGCTGGCTCCACACGTGCTCCAAACGTGGTACCGAAGTCACACAATTCCATCTCATTTTACCTTCGAGTAACTTTCTGCAGCATCAATGAAGAGAGTCAGAGCCTTCATCAGCAGTTTCTTTAAATTCGCAATGTCCTGAAGAGAATCCTCTGAAATGGGAAAAGAGCCCCACACCCTATTATTTATAAAGGTGACCAAGTTACAAGAATACCCCAAACCTGGCAAATAGGAGCCGCCTTCCCGACAGTGGAAAATCTGTGGATGTTACCAGGACAACACAGACAATGGAAACTACATCCACCCATCGTGTCTTCCTTCTTAAACGAACTTGCTCGCATTTCTTGGCTTTGCACTCTCCACTCACCCCATGGCTGAGACTCGATGAGTTTGAGCTGGATGCAAGCGGCAGCCTCGTGATTCTCTCCGATTTCTCGACACATACTGAAGCAAAGGGCGATCATGTTGTGCTTTTCACTGTCCCCTGGGCGACAACGCTTGATGTAATCCAGCAGAGCCGTCTTCAGTGTCCCGCTCTGGTCAGGTGAAGGAATATCAGATTAAGATTTCAAGAGGGTTTTTGTTGGTTTTTTTTTTCCCATTCACATTTTGGTACCCACAAGCAACTCTGGTCTGGTACAGTTTTCCAAAAAGTGATTATTACACTTTCTGAGGTTTCTCAAACGTTATGGTTGTATTATACAACTATGAGAAAGCCCAGCACCTCTGCATTTATGTTCCCAAGCTTAAGCAAACTTGTTAAACTAAAAGCAGAATAAACCTCAGAATCAATTTATTACTCAGAAACTTGAATAACACTTAGTACACTCCAGTAATTGAAATCCCCAGATAATTCCACCTTGTTGTGTAACTGTCAGTCCCTGCTGTATGTAGCCAACAGTTCCCTGGAATTTTTCTCCCCTTTATCTCCCTCCACCTACCGGGTCTAATTTCTTTCTCATGAGCACTTCAAAGTAGTGTTTCTCGTGGAGCAGTTCAAATATGTAGGTCATTTCATTGTATCTGCCAATGCCGGTGAGAAGACGAACCTGTGGAAATAACAGCACGAAGTTCAAAGTAAAGCAGAAAAATTCTCTCTCTGAAGGCGGTGGGGAGGAGGCCGACGCGCTCTGCCAGCTCACACGTGGCCCTGGGAGCGGCGTTAGAATCACAGAAGAGAATCAGAGAATCATTAAGGTTGGAAAAGACCTCTAAGATCATCAAGTCCAACCATCAACCCAACACCACCACGACCACTAAACCATTAGTTATGCAGGCAGATGTGCCCTTAGAGCCATGGCGGTTTTATTTTTAAACCAACCCACCGCATCTTCTATACCGTGAGGTGAAGGGACATCATTTCTCCCCCCCCTCAAAAAAAACCTTTTAGCAATGACACCATTCTACGGGGCACATCTCAGACTCTGGGATTTAAGGACACAGGCCAGCCCAGTGATACAAATCATCATGTTTCACCAGTGCTGCATTTACTTGGACATTCCCACTGGGATTTACCACGCTGCTGCCGCTTCACTGTCCCACTATGGCCACGTTTATTTTTCCAGAGAGGTTTTCTAAGAGCTTCTGTGGCATAAAAGTCATCCCCTGCGCCCATCAGGCCAAACACCCACTTGTAGCTTCTGGGACAGGCAGGATGGGACGGACAGTCCAGCTGAAGTAGAATTGTGTTCCCCATCCCATCGTCTCTGTGTGCTGCTCGGGAGCAAAGGGACTCGCTGAGGTGTCGGGGGAACCCTCCACCCAGCACCCAGGCAAGCACAGAGGGCATCGACGCACGTACCACAAGTCCGTACTCCTCACTCGGTGCCAAGTGCTCATCCGTGAGCAGCCGTGCCGCCTGGAGGACCCTGGTGATCCCTTCCATGTGGCAGGTCAGACTGAAGCAATTATGGGCCAAAATCAGCAATTCTGTAACTGCAGGAACAGAAGAAGTCGGGTACTTCAGTTACGAAGCTGAGGAAGTTCACTATTACGTCTCCCTACAGAAGTGGTGTCACCTCTGCAGAGCGTACCCAACCCTCCCGGCTACCGACAGCAGGATTAGATTAGAACTGGATTAGAAAGTCAAGACATGATGGTTCTCCCCCCGGCAATTTTCAGAAGTGACAGTTTCTGTAACAGCACACACTCAGTCTGGCTTCTCAATCTGTGGGAAAGTCTGGGGCTTTTGGATCGCTTGCTGAAGTGTTATTTGATTCCACACACACCCCTTCCAACCTCCCCCACTGATTGACAAATGTGTCAGAGCACACCGGCGCTCCTCCGGCACCCGTCAGAAAAAGGAAGGCTGCAAGGTTTGCACTGGGGTTTGAGAGTATTTTCTCCCAAAGGTTTCCCGATCTTCCAGCATTACAGTGGGATTCTAACAGAACAGCTCCGACACTAAGCCCAGCCACGCTTTTCTTCTGCAGAACGTTTCTAGGTGTCCTTTCCTCGTGCTCCGGACAAAACAGCAGTGGAAATTCTGCCCATGCTAATAACCAGGAGACAACTCACACTAAAATCTTTCTTTCATTCATTTTCCTCAGACATGAACTGCCTATAATAAATCTTTTTTTTTAAAAAAAAAAAACACACAAAAAACCAGTCTTAACCAGCAGCGACAAAACCGCACCAAAGTACCTTGGCTGTGTTTTATAAACTCGGTGACAAATCTCCGTGGTATACAAAGCTGCATCGGTAACAAAACATCTCCAAAGTCAGTTTAAGAAATGGATAAAGAAAGCCATTTCTAACGGTGATTAATACAAAGAAAGTCACAATACACTCCTGAAGTTCAGGTAACTCCCTGACTGCACTTGTCAGCTGCTGGCACACACAAAAATCCATCGGTGTTTTGTTTGAAAGTAACCTGACGGGATGCTGCTGGAGATGCTGCTTTGCCGTGCATACGCTCGGGTCTAGTCATTTAATACCGAATTTGAGCTCAGCCATCGATGCGTCCAGCAGCGCTGCTTTTAAGCTTGGTGACGTGATTTTAAACCAAGTAACGTCGTGTTTAGTAACTCAGTTACACCAAGGATTATTTGCCAGGTACTTACTGCATGACAGGTCCCCACGTGGCACAGAGGAAATTTTATCCAGTAACTTCAGGCCAACCAGGGTGTGATCCTGGCAGAGCTTAGCGAGCTGCAGGAAGGCCTTGCTCTCCGCCGCGGGGTTCAAAACTTGTTTCTGCCCTGTGTCCAGAGAGAGAGTTAAGCCACAAGTGCTAATTGGTCAGGAAAGATTAGCTACATTAATAAAAAAAACACCCAGAGATCAACTTCATCCAGACTGACTTAGGACTTGGGGCCACAATTCTACAGACACTTTAGAACTTTCTGCTTAAATTTAAGAATCAGATACGGCTTCTCTGCTGGTTCAACCCAATGAAACCCCACAGAACAACCCCGCTGCTGCTCTAATGACACCCGTCACCTCACAACCCCAGGAGACTGCTGCCTACTCTCAAGTGTCTCGAGAGCAAGGACTGTTCTTCAGATACACAGATACGACACTTAAAAACCAAAGCCACTGAAACACAAGCTCGAGCCTCCTTGCTACCTTTCCCTTCCGAAGACGCCAATAATTCCTGCATGATTTCCTCGGCCACGAGCTCTGCCACAGTTTGAGGCTGGAGCCCCTGCGTGGTGATGAAGGCCTGAGCCTTCCTGCATCGGTCAGGCCGGCGGGACGACAGAATCGCTCGAAGCACTTTTTCGGGGTCCTGGGCTGACATCTCACCGTAGGAGCAGCTCAATTCCTAAAAAACACAGGCACGCTTAGAAAAGCAGCAAAAATTCCAGTCCAGATCACGTACTGACCCACAGCACGTCCTCTTCACGATGAGCTGCTGCAGGAGGGGAGCGCTGGGGAAGCAGACAAAACTCAGCTTCAAAAAATGCAAACGTGATCCATCCTTCTATCCACTAATGGTGCCTTCTTCTGTCTCTCTTCAGTAGTAACGTCCTCCAGCTTGAAGTTTAATACTCACAGAGATGCTTTCCTGAACCAAACACAAACCCTAGCACTTAAAATATCTACAAGAAAGACAGCGATATTTCCCCCTAGATGAAGAACTGTGTTTTCCTGCATTGCTTGTGAGGTTTCTTTGTGTCCTCTCTACATACCACGGACTCTCAGGGAAAAAAAGACACTAATTTTCACATCCGCTGCACTCAGAAGAGGAGTTGGTGGGGCTCTGTAAATACCCTGCTGTAACATATTACAGCTTTATGAACTGACAAATCAATAGGAAAATGTACCTCAGAAACACAACAATCAACTCTAAATTCAAAAGCAGAGACAATCAGCTTCAGGCAAGAAGTACACGGATGGTATAAAAGGGAACAAGCCAGCCAAACGACTGCTTCTTAGTATCTCAAACCTAAAGTCCTCACTCTGAATATCTGAGGCATACAAATTTTCTGTAGGAAAATCTAAGAATTCTGCAATAAAGACAATACTAATATTTTCAGGATGCACGCTGCTGGTTTTATATAGAAAATAAACAATGTTACATTCCAAAAATACAGACCAACCACCATGGAAAGGAGTTCTGTTCCCTGCAGCACCCTCTGCAGAAGCAGCAGAGGTTGGTAATTTCACCCTCTGGAAAGTGCCCAGGAGGCACCTGACAAGTACTTCCAGTGCTCTGCATCCTTTCCGCCACAACCCTTCACAGCAGAGCTTGACACAAACCATTTGCTTCTTCAATAATGTACTGAACACGTACCTTAGAAAGCTCATATAAACACAGAACCTGTCTGCAGTAGTTTCTGCCGTGCACACATTCCTCTATGAGAGCCTTCAGGCTGAGAACGACTCGATCATCTGGAGATGGAGCTACAACGTACGTCTGGTCTTCTAAGCTTGATGCTGGAAATAAAAATACTATAAATTCCTTTCTCGTAGACAGATAACACCAACAAGCCTTAGACTTGGAGCAAGACTCCAGAAATCCATAGTAAATACAAAATGCCTTCTCAGTCTCTGAAAACTGACCTCTTGATACCTCTGATTTTTTTTTAAAGTTTTTAAAGTTTTAGGGTACAAACAATACGACAACACCAATGAGCCAAAATATCCACAGTAACATCTCAGATGTCAAATGCCCAAGCATGAGGGTCCATTTGCCTTCCTGATGGTTTAGGCTTCACTTATTCTCTTCTATTTCTATTAAGCTTTATGCAGGTTAGTACTAGAAAGCAAATGTTCCAGCTGGCAGCTTTCTCATACAGGCTTCATAAATAAGCTCAGAGTACTTCACATATCAACATTTTAAGTCTTAGTCTCGCTATTAATAACAAACACTAAACCCTTTAAAATGCACAAAGAATTCAGAGAAATACACTAATCAAAGCATTTCCTTGTTCCAGCTCCAGAAACACATTCAACGTTTACTAGAGTGTGTATTCCCAAAGCAGGAACACAGGTGAAGTTCAGTGCTACTTCACCAGAACAAAACTGTGAGCTATAAAAAAAATAAAAATGGTTAAGAGTCTACAGAACCCGGATGCAGAAACACTCTGCCTGAAGTACACGCAAGCAACTTGTATTATAAGGCTTCAAATTCCTTTCACCAGAGGATTTATGAACCAAGCAGATAACGCGCTGCCGTGAAGATCTTCTTTCCTGCAGAAATTTTGGGTGAAACGAACACTAAAACCCAGTGCCAGCCCACCAGCGGTACTCACTGCTCGGGACTCCGCTCTGCTGAGCTGTGCTGCTCTCGCACGTCTTCTCTCTGGCTCCAAGGAGACTCCGAATATCCGCGTGTAATTTGTCCGCATCGGTCTCCCCTGAGGCCAGAGCTCTGCAATGCAAAACCAGCGAAACGTCCCGGTCGTAGAAGTGGAAATACTGACAAACGCGGCTGGCCTCGTGCACGCTGCCTTCCTCGAGGAGGCGGCCGACCAGAAACTGCAGTGATTCCTCCTCCTCCTTAGCCAAGCTCTGCTGGGACTCCTTGAACGCGAGGGCCTCGAGTTTTAAGTACTTTGGTGTGTTCAGAGCAGGCAGCTTTGAAAAAGAAAACTCCTTTGCTAAGCTTTCGAAGGTGAGCTCCCTGCTCGCCACAACATGGGAGGAAAATCTCGGCTCACCCGACCCCTCGTCTGGGGATAACGTTTGCCGTGCGACGCGACAGATCCAGACCTGCTTCTCTATCTCCTCCAACTTGTGCAGCAACACCTTGGCCCAGCCAGTGGCCAGCAAGGGTAAGCAGCAAGTGTCTCTCCATAATGCTGTCCAAATTCTCCTGAGCTAAGGATTCAAATGCTGTGGTTGCCTGGTCAAAAAAAAACTCGGATGCAGCTTTGCTGGAGATCGAATTTTTCACGAAGCTCTCGTCACACTTTTTCCAGAATTCAGTTCTCGTCTGGATTTGATCCCACCGTCCAGTGTCTCTTAAATGACGTAGATCTCGCAGAACCTGCAAAATTCACGGAGGTTTTAAACAACCAGCTTTCAAAAAAAAGAAAAATCCCATTGGAAAAATGGAATTGGTATTGTCCCAGCAGGCAACAAATCCATCTGGTTTTCCTACCAAACCAAACTGACTGCACAGCAAGTGAAAGTAGTACGAGAATAAGGAAAGCTACGCTGTCCTCTTCAGCTCAGCACTTCCAGCCAACTTTTCTGGTATTTCAAATCAAAAGGGATTTGAAGGAAAACTTGTGTTTCAGGAAGGCTGAGAAGCAACATTTTCACTAGGGCCCGTGATGGGAGCATTAGGAGGGGAACACCCCGACTGAAGCGCACTGTACCTCCTGTGTGACCACGTTGTCCACGGGCAGCGCAGCGAGCGCCGCGACGTCCCGCGCCAGGGAGAACATCCCCTTCTCCTGCAGCTGCTCCAGGATGGATCTGCACTCGCTCTGGAACGTCTCCATGTTGTAACTGGTGAGGATGGAGCGATTAATTGAGATGGAGGAATCCTTCAGGGTCTCGCTGAGGGTGCAGAGTTTCTTCACATAAGGGCCTGTTTTAAAAGAGGAGAAGCAACTCAAGGCAGCTGGTTTAAAACCTGAGGAAGCTCCCTGACTTATTTCAGCACGCAACCCTGCCAGAGGAGCACAGCTTTACACACTCTAAAGCTTTCGTGGACTGAAAATAAGCTCTAAATCCGTAACCAAAATATTTCTGCAGGTAATCATCAACACTTGCACGTAACCATTCTCCCAAAGAGACTTAAACGCAGTTTTATTTTCATCTCTGCAATTCATAGGGAGCAAGTGTGGGTATATAAATTCCTACCCAAAAATAAAGCAGTACGAATACACTACAACATTTTCAGTCCCTCCAAAACCTTTCTTTGTTGTCTTTAGGTTAAAGCAGCAATATCATCTGACGGAGGAAACCGTATTTACCATTGAGTAGAAGATTATCCGCTGCAGCAAACAGCTGTAAGAGCTTCCCTAATTCATATTCCGTTCTACACTGCTGCATCATCAGTTCCAGAAGAAACAACGCTTGGGATTCCAGCCACTGCACAGGGAACTCGGAAGCAGCCGGTTCATCTTCAGCTTTCAGCTGTGTAGACAAAGACTTTTAAGTGTTGGGTTTGGGTTTTGTTTGCAAACATGTGCTGCGTTTGGGTGGGGATCACACTGGAAATGGCAGGTGTCCCAGGTGTACCTCCTCTAAGTGTACCCACCATGTGAGTAGCGCACGGGGAAAGGAAACTCACCCAGCCTCAGCCTGAATTGCAGGAAGGAAAACAGCTAACGACAGGGAATGCTAGTTACCAAGATACCTGGGGAACTAGGAAATTGGACTGGAAAGAACTGAAATAATTTGTGAAAAATGTCTCTGTGACAAGCAAGGAACACTGCATGAACACCTGGGTCCTCTTAAATCCAACTGCTAAACCACTGCTTTAGCTGAAGAGTGTAATTCAGTCCTCTGAGTCGTTTTCAAAGAAAAATCTACGCAACTCTCAAAACTAAAGCAGTATCACGGACCCCTTCAGAAACTTTGAAACACATTCGAAAAATTGTCCTTCTTAAATAGATATTCTCTGTGAGTCCCCGGGGGATCAGCTCAGCACCAGCTGGCCCTGGCACATACAGAACATCTGCTCACCACCACCAATCCAACTGACCAACCGTGCTCTTACCTGAGTCCACGTCAGCCTTCGAGCAGTAACATGCTCGCACGAGGGAGGTGACATTGTGTTGCCATCTTCCCATACCGACTTAAACCATAATGATTTAGATTGTGGGGTTTGAATGGTCAGAAACGTATTTTCTGACCAGAAGAGCACCTGCTGAAACCTACTGCTTCCCAAGTGAGCTCCCAGGTCATTCGAAGCCCCTCCCTTTCCGTTATTTTCATACACGACACTAGAGGCCTATCATATTCTAATAAGGGAAGACCTAGGCAAGGACATTTAGAGAAAATGAATTTACTTACCCTTGTGAGACCTTCCTGAAACTTCTCCAGTTCGGTTTTAGCTTCGTTGTATTTTTTACAGTTCATGCACAGTTCATACATCTCCAGGATATGCAGTAAGGGGGAATCCTTTAAGACACAAAAATAGGTTATAACTCTTTTTCAAAAGTACCTCAATAAATGTAGAATTTGTCTTCCTCAGAGCAATGAATTTCTAACTTATTAAAATCGCATGCAAGGGTGATATGTGATCTGCACATTTGTAACAACTGGAAGAATTTCCATTCAAAGATTTTCCTACTCGATGGGGACTTCCAGCAGATTACACCCAGGTAAGCCAGGCCGCTAAGGGCAAGACAGAGGGGACCTACAGGCCACCTCCTCTCCAGACAATCTGAGATACACTCAAGAATACCACTAAAAAGGCAATACCTTACCTTCAAGAAGAGCTGAAAGCCATTTAGAAGCGTTTTACTTTTTTGCTTTCGTAAAAAGACTTTCCAGATAACCGACAGGTCATGAAGATCCCAGCGGTGATTTTCTGCTGAGCTTTGAATATGGTTTGTGGCTTCAGCCCTGGTAGCATCATCCACAGCCGTAATTATCCAAACGCACAGGCAATCAATAATGTTTGCATCCTGTTAATTGATAAAAAAAGATGGGTTTATAATAACCAGAGACAAACACCACCTTGTTAGATATCACTTGGCCAAACGTATCACACTATTCACAATTAGTACAAAAACTGAGAAAAAATCTTGAGGAGTGCAACCGACACATCTCTCATTTAAGATCATTATGCACCACCTTCACTTCTTTTTATTAATCATTCCTCTAAAAGAAAAATCACTTTGTCAATACTCACTTGGAAACACGCTGCTAAAACGCTCAGGATGGGAGCGTGCTCTCTCAGTCCCTCAGCCAAAAGGTAACGCGAAGGGTTTGAGCTCTCCTGACACTGAAAAAGGATCTGAAAGAGACTGTCGGCGTCTTTGCTCCGGGCCACGCTGGCAGCGCTGTTCTCAGGACATGAAAAGGGTAATTTCTCCAACGCCAGCATCAAGTGATCTCGTAAAACGGGAGTGAAATCCTGAAGGATAGGAATAACCTAGGGCAACAGAAGCGAAAGCATCTATAAAGAGCAAGATCCAAAGAGGACGAGGGGGAAGAAGGACTGAAGCATTAAATAGGCAAAGACAAAAAATTTTCTTCACGTTCAATTTTAATTCGGAGACCCGGAGAGGAAGAAGTGTTCTGTAGGTGTGAATTATTCTGACAAGATACCGAAGCTCCTTTTACATGAAGGGAAAATGGCACTCCTGCCTGGCATAACTCTCCCACATCACGAGAAGTGCCTGTTAATTGCTGCCGGGGAATTAGTTGTTTTTCTTTTCAAGGCAACAACGAAGAGCTCCAAGTTAAAATCCTAGACCTGCTAAACATCATCTTAACCAGATTGTCCCAGTTAGCTTCCTCACATTACTCTTCCCAAATTGCTTCTCATTTTTACACGCTGGCAATATTTTATTAAATTTTCAATTACGTTCAAAAGAAAAACTAGAAAATTAGGTTCTCAAACCTATCTTTACACCAAAATCATTGAAAGTTTTGAATGGCTTTAATAAAACTTAGACTGAACGTAGGGTAACTCTCCAATAAAAAATTAGTACGTTAAATCATTTTAAAAATTGAATTAGACTTACAAACATGAGTAAATTAAAAATGAAAATGAAGCCCCTTCTTGGCAAATACTTTTGTGTCCAATTCCCTTCGAAGAGACACTCAAATCATTCTTCTCTGAAAATTCTCTCTCCACTACTGAGTAATAACATCACATAAGCTTTTCCAAATAGGGATTTTTTTTCCTAATCTTCTCCTTTAACAGTTAGCTTTTGTGCTCTTAGAAGCGTATGATTATATCTGCTGAGCAGTCAGCCCCCTCTGGAGTCAATTTTGCTTGCTTTGTGTTTGCTTTTCCCATACCAAGAGGGTTTTTTTTTGGAAAGAGTTGGGAAATCTGGCTGCAAGAGAAAGGCACCGAGCATCTGAGACAACCCCTATCTCCCTGGAAACCTCCATTTTACGTTGTCTCCACAACGTGATATTGTCCTGTTGAAAGAATCTAGTTTTTCCTTCCTTATTTTTTTTGAACAAAGGTACTTCAAAGCTCAGGCGGGGAGCTCACCTCCTCTGGCCGGTGGCCGTACAGCTGCGCCTGCACGATGAACTGCAGCCAGTCGTCGCACCGGGCACACTCTTTAAGGTACGACGTACTCAGGCCGATGTCGTGGAGCTCACAGAACTGCATGACCAAAGCCCACTGTCTCCTAGAGTCACTAGATATCCTGCATGGAATTTAAAGAGCTTCAGCTGTAATAAATTGGTATTTACACCAGATGTTAACAAGGGATGTTACGGAAATCGTAAAACTGAGTGCTCAGTCTCAGTTTGCCAGCACAATCCCTTAAATTACGTTTTACTCACTTCTTTAGTCCTTGATGCTCAACTGCATCCCAAAAGGCTTCCTCTAAGGAGATGAGAACTGCTGCTGCTGCTGTTCTTTCACCATCAGCTGATTTTGTTAACTTCTCCACTGTTCAAAAGAACGTATTACTATTTCGGAGACGCTACGTGGGATTAGAGCAATATTTTCAAGCACCACTGTAAATGTTTCAATAATTCTGCCAAGTCTGGCACCAACGCAGCAACAAGATTTTTGCAAAAGAATTACAAATTTCAAATCATAACTTTTTAAAATTATTTTTAAGAAATTCTGCCTATAATTTTAAGTTTCATGTTTTTTCAAACTATCAGGAAAATATAAAAAAATGCCAGCAATTTTGTAGCTGGGACAGACACCTGCAGACCCATAGGCAGAAATTCAGCTTCCTAGGATAAATTAAATTTTCTTACAGCTTTGAACATCTGACTTCCCTGCAGCTGTAAGACAGTTTTCAAGTATGAAAGAGAAAAGAGATTTGGTAACATCACTTTGTTTCATCGTCTAGTTACAATATTAGGCTGAGCTTTACCAAATATTACCCTGAGCCTTAGGCAGCTGCTCAACAGGGTCTGTTAGACCCTCCTGCAACTCTGGCTGCAGGTCATGCTGGTCTTCCTGCCTTATATGGTACGTCAGGTTCAAAATGCACCTTCAAAACCAGCAAAAAAGCAGGAGAGTCGAGCAAAATTCTCAGCTCTTCAAAGGACAGGATGTTTTTGCCGCAGTCCTGCAAAGTCAGGCACCACTTGTCAACCCAATAACTACACGCACAGTGCCTGGTTTTAAAACAAGTCCCTTACCCAAAGACTCTCTTATTTGATTGTGCTGAGATTCTTCACTTCTAGTTCTGTAACTAAAAATCATGTTGGCAACTTTAAGATCGACCCTGAGCTTGAGGCTGTTGAGACCGAGCAACTCCAGAAAACACACGCAGGCTGCTCCTACTGAAGGTGCACTGAAGGAAGACAGAGCTAAAATAGAGGCTTCCTTGCCCGCCTGCTGAATCCTGAAACAGAGACAACACCAGTTAACGCTTACGATTTTTAACCAATTTTCAAACACAAATATTCCCCACGCGAACAACTACCTACAAGGTTTACTGAACTCACAGACTTCATATGCTTGAAAGGTATTTACAAACCAAAAGTTTCAGTTTCATGAAGAAACGTAGGTACGAGGATAAAGCCTCACACACCATAAGCTCACAATTTAATAAACTCGACAGAAAACGAACGCTGATGCATTCAGTGCTGTAATTAACAAAACCACCTGGCAGCAGTGTCGGTGCCAGAAGTCCCACTGCAGAGTTCAGGATCCCAGCACGGCACCACCAAGAACCCGAAAGCGATTTGTGAATCGTGCTAAAAACAGACCCCAAAGGGTTCTACAGCGCCTCAGCCATCGGTCACTAGAGATTTTTCCAGAGCAGTCACTGAAAAAATCACACCCGCCTAACTGGCTTCCAAACTACCAAGCACTTCAGCCTACACTGCCTTCCTTTTTGCCCAAATTGTAGCTATTTACACAAGAGATTCGTATAGCAGAGACGAAAAGAGACAAATAGTGACAAACACACAAACGAGACATTCTAGAGCCAGATCTGTTTTGACGTAACTCTACTAATTTTGAATATACCTAACAGTAAATTTTGTATATTCAAACAAGTTTTGCAATTCCACTGTGCCCTTTCGAACATGTGATTTTGATCTTGCAGCCAGAAAATTTAACTCCTTCAACCAGAAAATTTAATTCCTTCAACCTCCAGTATAATATTTGTCTTAATTGAATTAAGAAGGAAATGTCAAAGAGAAGGGGCATCTCTTTTCTACAAAGTGATCCAGAGACTCATGCCCTGAGAAGAAAAGCCTACCTGTGCTGGGTACGACCGGAGTATTTTTCATCCCTCGCTCTCGTAGTGCTGATTTTATTTAGGTAATTCAAAACAAAGCTGACCTTTTAGATGATATTTGATTTCTATCCTACCTGATGCCTGCCTGACTGGACTCCCAGGACTCCTAAAATTTCAAGTGATGCCATGCACACACCGCTTTTTTTGCTGTTGGGGAGGATTAATGTTACTCCACCTGCGGGATAATAACTTCAAAAGAACCATCCGACTGTCGGGTTTGAGAAGACTTACAGCTGCTTGGGGGATTTGCTCTTTACTAACTGCTGCACCAGAAATGTACCAAAAGCAAACGACGGCCGTCCGTGGTGCAAGTAGTACAAAAAATCCAGTCGCTCCATTACAGCGTATTTGTTCACCAGTTCAGGGGATGAAAAATGAGGAAAGTCACTTGATGCATCTAGAAAGAAAATCATCATTATTACGAGCTGGTAAAGAGCGGAATTAAAGGCAGAAACTGGCTTTCAGCTACAAAACGTGAGATGGCAATCAAGCATCTCTCCCCTTGCTCTAATCCAAATCTCCACAGAGCCAAACCCCACGGAATTTCCAACTCTCGTTGTAAAATCAGAACTCCAGATCACTTCTTAGGCCCTCAACTTGCCACTTTTTTCAACTTGTCACTTTTCTATCTCGTAACACTTTCAGAAAAAATGCTGTCTGTGAGAGCTTAATGAGAAAAGGTAACCTATCTGGGATTTAATTTCAAAGTAAAATGTTAGTAAATTATGCTATTTTTTCAGTAAAAGGAATCCAAGTCTAAGTTTATCTGGTAAATCATTCCACTGGAAGGTATTTTATCCTTGGTGCTCAGGCTAAAAAAACACACCAAACTTGAAAAGTAACCTACCTGATGCAGCAAGAGTGTTTGTGGACTGCCAGCCAAATAGTTTAGCGGGATCGAAGGGCATTAACGACTGAAAGATGAAAACCAAAAAGTATTGAGACAGCTGAAGATTTTCACATCAGACCAGGCCACAGCTATACATTTTAGCCAAACTAAGGATCCCAAAGAAACAACACATGGTTCCCACCTTCCGGGCTTTAAGTGAAACTGAGTTGCTTTTAGTTTACTTCTGCCCAAAAGGCCCCCCGAGTAGGACTGTGTGTACCTGGACAAGATGGTAAAGAGAGATGTCAGGTGGCAAAATTCCATGAGAAGTACCCGGGGGAAAGAGAGCGGCTTTGAGTTTGGGGTAAGGCGTCAGTGCCATTTTTAAAAGCTGTGGATCAACCTTCTTCAGGGGTTTCTCCGTATCTTCATTCTGAAGAACCTGCATTGCAAAGAAACACAATCATTTCATTAGGAAGAAGAAACTGCATTAAGATAATAAAAACCCAATCTTTAAATATGCCAAACTACCTCAGGGGAATTTGGCATACGGTGATGATCCAGGAAGTATCGTTTTTTTCTGCAAAATCCTTTTAAATTATGAGACATGTCTTCAGCACCTGATGTTTTAGGTTACTGTGCCACATATCAAAAAAATATCTGCAGTAATACATTCGGTTCTCCCAGCGCTTTTCTTTTAAAAGTATAATTGCTTCCAATTTGCTTTTTTACCTCTATAGCACAATGCGACTGGTTAACGCAATGTAAGGAGTAAGGGATGTTTTTGATGTTTATCGAAAATATTTTCCCAAATGTTCCTATAAACACCCTCAGCTGCAGCTGCTAGGAAGGAGTTAAATCCTCCAGCGCAGAGCTGCTGTTTCCAAACCACATCACCTCAAACCGCTCTACTCACTTCATTTAGCCAACTACTAACACCCAAACCAGACTCCTACACAAGAAGAAACCATTTGATGGCATTAGTATATTTATTTTCACCACCATTGTCAACACCACGCGAGAACTTCCCCAAAGGCTTATCAAAGACTTGCTGCCCACGGTACCTGGTCGATACCTCCGGGCGCGTACATCGTGGTGGCGAGCGCTAACAGCGTCCGTCCTTCCAGCAGGATGCTGCTCACGCTGGCTTGGTTACTGGGAATCAAGATCTGAGCATTCGCGAGACTGGCCTGGAAAATCATCTTTGGATCTTAAAGAAAGGAAAAAAATGAAGTGAGGTTTAATTCCAAAGCCTAACCTTAAACTAGGCATTAAAACTGTTCTATGAGCATGAAAAAAATGCTGACATTTTTAGTTTTTTGTTGTTAATAGTGGCTTTTTTCAACTTATAAAAGCTGTTCTAAATTTTACCAAGCCTTTTCCAATT